ACCCAATCCCAATACAGATTTAGATCCGCCGCGAGAAGCTCTACAAAACCTGATATATAGCTTTCTGGTTCGACATACTTTTGAAATCCGGCAGGGTCCTTTATACAAGTAAGTCTATAAATAAGTTAAATCTTTGCACGTTGTTTTAGCTAACTCAAGATTCTCAGTTTGATAGACAATCAAATCACAGGTAGTAATGTTATGCCAAATAATATGCTGAGTATTACCGCATGAAAGTCTAACTGATTTTGAAGTCATATCTTACCAATGATTTACAAAGAAAATCTTCGAATTTGACAAAATTTATTTTATTTTTTATTTGGAAAAGTATACACATTGAATCTACTTATATTCAATAGATTAATCACTTGAAGACTGATCGGTAGATATTTCTTACACTTCTAGAACTCGATGACATGTATTTACATATCTATGTTCTTCCTTCTATTTTTCTTTTCCTTTACTCTAACATGATAAAATGTCTTTCCCAATCGGGAAAGAGATTTTGATCCTACTTCTTTCTATTCAACATTTCTATAATATCCGACATGATAGAAGTGCGTCAATCAATGTAGTTTTTCGTGCTCTATCGAATGAAACCAATCAGTTTTCCAGTACCAAATTGAAGAGAACTACCGAATCACTAATCTAACAGAAAATTATTCCTTGAATCTTTAAGACTCGATTTACTTTCAACATATTCATACAGTGTGCACCATGAATGATTAGGATTTAATGTGTCGTAGAATGGATTTTGAAGCATTGAATGGGGACAGTCACAAGATAAAAAGCCTTCCAGATGCCTCTAAAAAATTTGAAGAAAAAAGAAAGTCAAGAAATTGTGTTTCTGTGGACAAATTATTCATGGGGGCGATATAATTTTTTAGGTGACAGCCTAAGCCGTACTAATTTGTTTTTATTGTTATGCATTGACGTTTATTCTAATCATGTTTTTGATCGAGAAAATAAAATTATTGTTTTTGGTCTTTGTTAACTAACTTGACAGGTAAATATATCACTACATAATATCGAACATTTATTATCATAAAAAGAGTGATATAAAATTGTAAATAGTAATATCAAAATACTGATTGATCCTCTATCAAAATGGATATAAATGTCAAAACATTTGTTCACATCATTACATACAAACAAAAATATAGATATTCAGTGTTTTCGATATTTTATTGTGTTAAAATATTATTTGAAAAGGCAAAGACGGACGATATATCTATAAGCGAACAAATAATCGACGGGATAGTACTAAAATAAACGTAAGTGTTAAGCGATAAGAATTTTTAACACGACTGAATATTTTAGTTTAAATAATGGGTGATTTTCGGTGGAATGAATTTTATCACGATCTTGAATTAGAGAAAGCTCGACGATATTTTTTTCCTATATTGTTACTTTTATTACAAATCTTATTCATTATTCTATTCGGTGTTCATTCAGAATATAATTTAAGACCCAGATATCCTAATGGAAGTATTATTATACAATCTTTTGACGAACCACCAGAACGAGGAGATGTTGACACATTTTATCCAATGTTTCAAGATGTTCATGTGATGATGTTTATTGGTTTTGGGTTTTTGATGACATTTTTAAGACGTTATAGTTTTTCAGCTGTTTGTTTCAACTTTTTAATTGCCGCATTTGTACTCGAATGGGCTATTATTATTCGTGGTTATGTTTTCGATTGGAATTTAAGTCGACATGTATTCGGAGTAGATGTACAGAGTTTAATTCATGCTGATTTTGTTTGCGCAGCTGTTCTGATATCGTTTGGTGCTGTTTTGGGTAAAACAAATCCGGCACAGTTAATTGTTTTAGCTTTATTTGAAGTTGTTATTCAAGTATGGAATGAATGGATTGGTTCGACATTATTTTGTGCTTATGATGCAGGAGAGTAAGTGATCTTTGAGAAAAAAAATGAAAATGCGTTGTCATATATTTCTTTAGGTCTGTTTATGTTCATATATTTGGAGCCTATTTCGGATTAGCTGTCGCATTTGTGTTACATAAAGCTGATGTATTAGAATCGGCTAAGGAAGGCTCGAGTTATGCATCCGATATATTTAGTATGGTTGGAACATTGTTTTTGTTTTGTTTTTGGGTAAGTTTTTAGTAATGTTCATTTTCTTTATAATAAAAATATTATTTTTATTTTAGCCAAGTTTCAATGCCGGTACAGCTTATGGTGATGGTCGGTTGCGTGCTGTTACAAACACGTACATTTCTATTTGTTCATCTGTGTTATGTACATTCATCTTATCAGCATTTCTTGGTAAAGGTAAAAAAGAGATAATTCATATTCAAAATGCAACACTGGCTGGGGGTGTAGCTGTGGGGTGTGTCGCTGATAAGAATATCGGGCTGTTTGGAGCAATGATCATTGGCTCTTTGGCTGGTACGATTTCAACAGTTGGTTATAAACATTTACTAGAGCGTTTGAAAAAGCTACATATCCACGACACGTGCGGTGTCCACAATCTTCACGGAATGCCTGGTGTATTATCAGGTTTTGGTAAGTATCTGAGGAGTCAGCAGAATTGTTACTGATCAAGTTTTTTCTCCTCTCTAGCCGGTATTGTAGTGGCATCGATGCCACAGCGATCACTCTATAAAGAAGGTTTATCTGAACAATGTTTTGGTGGTGGTCTTAACCGTTCAGTTCGAATTCAAGCTGCATATCAAGCAGCTGCTGTATTTTTAACTCTTGGCTTGGCTATTGTTGGTGGTCTGTTAACTGGGCTCTTTTTACGTTTACCAATATTCAATACACCTGATCAAGACACGTATTTTGATGATAGTTTGAATTGGATAGTACCGGACGATTTTGTTGATGCGGAAACATCGGCTATTGGAAAATTAGCTAAACAATTGAAAATGAATATGCCACAACTGAATGAGGAAGATATGCCACCCGCCGAGATAGACGATGGAATGCATTTGACGATCGATGTGCCGAATCAGCAAGGAAAAATAAGAATAAGTCTACCGTTTATGCAAGCAAATGAAATAAATGAAATAAATGAACTATCACGTCGACCATCAGCAAATCGACATCCATCATCAATTCGTTCTCCTCATTCTGGAGCACATACAGCTCTATCATTACCTCCACAGCTGTCTAGTTCAACGATTCATAAGTTATCACCGCATATGACGCATGTAGCTCGATTTTAATACGTAACAGTCAGTAAAGGAACAGTCTATTCATATGTATAAAAATTGTTGTTTATTGTTTATCTGTACAGTTATTTTATAAGATACATTATGTATCTCTTCTAGATTTATTTGTTTTTTAATGTTGAATTCATTTTTATTTTTAATAAAATTAAATAATTAAATATGGTTTGAATTCAAAATACTGAACCCCCACTCGTTACTATCAAGAAAATTTTGTTATTACGGTGCGATCACTTCATTTCAGGTACTCCAAGCTCAGAGTCAGGCTATGATTCTGATATGTATTCTACTTACTACATTCTGATCAGACTGTATATCCACTCCGAGCTATATTATATATGTTAGGGGGTAAAGCATGGGAGTGTATTAATTTTGAGCATGCTAGTAAGAGTGTATCTTTCAATCGAAATGCTTTTTATCCATGATAGGACTACAGAGGATTTTCATTTGTAAATTCTACGTTCAGAAATAAGCATATCGAAAGAAGTTAGCCCTTAACGACCGAGGACACGGTTTTTAACAACGCAAGAATGGTGATTAGAAAAATGAAGGTTATGGACCCTCAGTGTACTTATCTTATAGCAAAAAAATTTAAGTTGCTTTTCTTCTCGAGATACGCAATGTCTCTTGGAAGGACATTCGATCATAACGGCATGAATTTATGAATTTTTTTCTGAAGCAAAACGAACTTCTTCAATAAAAATCATTCTACCTTTATTACTTTTTTCGCAAAACATAAGATCAAAACACATATTTCATTGATGTTTTTAAAACACCAAAGAAAAGCACATTTTGTGCAATAGATATCCTATGAGTTAGTTCAAGGACTGGCACCCGGTGACTATTGGTAGCCTTAAAGACGAATGGACTAGGGGGGTCGACCATGCTGAGGTTTGTGAAAATATTTACTTTTAGAACAAGTTTTAAAAATCTACCGAAAAGCCAGTTTT